TATTGCCCCTTTACGTTTTCGAAGAATACAACATAAAAGAAATACACAGGAAAAGAAGACGTACCCTGTAAACTCCCCGGCACATTTTGTCTGATCAATTCGTTATTCAAAATGAAATCCAACTGTCAACCCGAGATTTTATCGCGGTATACCAACCGGCTAAATGATTTGTGGCCGTTCCCTGGAGTTTTAGTGTTTAAATAAACAGCCCACGTATAAAAAGTGACTTCAAGTAACTTAAAAATCCTTGTCCCCGTTTATTTTTTCCAAGGTTTCAAGCTCTTTTGCCTTCCACCATCCCCTAAGTCGGCTGTGCCGCCGTCTCCGCGCGCATTGATGTCTAACCATGCAAATTATGAGGTGTGCACACGCGCTGCGCCAACGTGCGACTGTTTGCACTCGCCTTTATACCAAAGGTAAGAAGTAAGGACTTTAGGAAGTCGTTTTTAATCTAAAATAATAGACGTTCTTTAGCATTTCTCGTGAGTGGTTGGCATATTTAGAACTGGTTCGTGTGTTTATTCTTTGAGTAATTATGTTGTAATATGGGACTTTTAAAAATATTTTAGGAATAGTATTACAACATTTTCATCGTGTGAGGTGTAAACCGAACTAATATGCAGGCTTATCAAAACGTTATAAAAAAAAAACCGACTCCAAAAAACCTACACTAAAAAGTAGAAAAATACGCTGAAAAAAGATTTGTTCAAATCGGTTCATCATTGGCAGAGTTATCGCGTAACAAACATAGAAAAAAAAAACATACGGGTCGAATTGAGAAGCTCCTCCTTTTTTTGAAGTCGGTTGAAAATACACACCATTTACCTAACTGTTGAATAAAATGCTCGACAAACTTCGAACAAATTTAGAATCGAGCATAAACGTAATCTAGTTGAAAATTGATTGTTGATTCTGATGCAACTGTTGTTGACTTCATCTCTAATTGCAATTTTTAACCAAGCAATTTTTAAGCTTCCCTCAACTACCTGGTGGTGACCCATCACACAAAAGAATAGCTGCGGAAAACTTAAATTGTTGTAAGCCAATTGTTTTTTCTCAAATATGTAAAGCTAAAAATCAACTATGTCTTCATTAAGTAGGTACAATCAGTTCGCGATACACGATCCAATGTAACAAAACTAAATACGTGTTGCGAACGTGTTGGCCACTTTGGTTGTCACAAACTATTTGACGCTGACTGTACTACATCAACGACAAAATTGTTATTCTATGAGCTCTAAACTTTATTCTGGAGTATTTCAAAAGAATAGACCGCGAAACAATATTTATTTTTCGAATCCACGACTTAAACCCACGAGTAGTTCGAAGAATAAATAAAGGTAGCGACGGGTCTATTGTTTGGCTTCAGAATTTCAGACATTGTTGCGGAATGGAAATGTTTTGTGAAACATTATCCTTTAAATGCATTCTCTTCGTAATTCAAAACAAACACTGAATATTTGTTATTGTAAAATTATATTACAGACGTTTTAAAACTAATCCGTTTGCAGAATTAACTTAAATACGCTAACGGTGCGCTCTGTCTATTAACTTCAAAATTGTGTTATGTGAAGACATTAGTCAAAATTGTTTAAAGATATTTAACCCTTAATTACGCGCATAAAGAATCTTACATAACTGCTCGCATGGGGTCACAGATGACCCCAAATTGTATGAGTAGTTTTTAATACATACTGAAATTTTATAAGTTCATTTAGAACTATATTATTATAAAAATGCTTTATTTATCATTTAATGTCTATAGGTAATAACATGAATTTCTCACTAATTATACAAAAACAAGCTAAATTAAAATAATTGTCAATAATTAACAATTTGTACTTAGGTATACTGAGATCATAGGTAATATTAGTATTTTTTAGGAACTCTCGGAATCATTCTTGTTACACTGTTGACAGTATATTTCAGAGTGATCATTGCACACAAATCTTGTACATTTCTTGCATTTTCGATTCACTTGATTGTGCGGAGGATTGCTCGATCTCATTAGCGCTATCATGATCACTTTTTGTTATTTCATCTAACTCTGGTTCAGAACTCGACCCTCCAACTTCTTCTTCATCAGAAACATCTTCCAACCATTGCACAATTTGCTATTTTTTCCTATCTCTACTAACTCTGAAAAAAAAAAGACAAAGTAGTAGTAAAACTGAATTTATCAATATTTTTATTGTTTAGAGCTGTAAAAACACATTTATAACAAACATTTATTAACTGAATATACAATAACACAAATATTATTCATAATACACAAAATAAATACATAAAACAAAAAACTTACCTCTTCCAAAAAAGTTACGTAATTACTCGCATGGGGTCACCACTCAAGAGCGCAGCGACGCATCCTTCCACTCCCGTGAATTAGTCGCTATCAAAATACAAACTAAGACGTGTTTTATGAAGCTACTGGGGGCGCGGAGAAAATCGGGCCGCGCCAAGTGCTTCATTTTTGAATCCGAAAATGCTTTGACCCCATGCGACTAATTAAGGGTTAATTTTAGAGTCCTAGTACCTATTAAGTATAATGCGTACTGCAATATTGGAAGATAGTCAATCCACAAAATGATAAAGGAAGGGTCGACTTCTTTAACAATTATGATAAATGTAAATTAATCATCAATACCTACCAACTGAAAGAAAAGAAAGAAAGAAACATTTAGTACGAATATCATTTAGTTAAGGACAAAGAAAGTATACGGAATAAAAGGCAGAAATAGCACATAAATATTACAAGGAAATATAAAGTGAACTGAGCAGTGCTTGCTACCCTGTCGCAACATCGATGCCCATCGCAATGGGACTCCACTCAGCATATTTATGCCGTGGCCCACGGTGGGAAAAGCCACGATGCTGGTTTTCAGTGTGCCCCATTGCGTTCCACTATCATCTTCCATTGTACCTACTTGTATAAAAGAAAGGAAACTTTTAGATAATGAGACTTGTCTAGATGAAAAAAAAAACAAGAAAAGAAGCCTCTATTCTATGCATATTACTCATATTTTATTCCATTCTCCACCAGCCAGTTTTCCATAAGAAAAACTTGCCCGTGGTCATCGAAGCGGCAAACAAAGACAAGCGTTCCGCGTTTTATTTCAGCGAGGAACCCTAAAAGCTCTAAAGGATTTGCCACACTGGATGCCCGGATAGGAAAAATATGATGATAGATCATATCTTATCACCAAGTAGTGATATTAAAGTCGTATACATAAGTAACGCTTTTCCAATGATACACATTTCTACTAAAGTAATATCATTCATTTCAGCCAAATGACGTCCACTGCTGGACAAAGGCCTCCCCCAAAGCTTTCCATAATGAACGGTCCAGCGCTGCCCGCATCCAGGTTCTTTCCGCGACCTTTACCAGATCGTTTTCTGTCCCAACGGCCATCGTCTCTGCGAGCTATGTTCCCCGTACCACTTGACTAAAGTAAAATATCTTATGACTTTTTATATCATCGATAATACAGATTAGTTGTGTGTCGTTTTGCTAGCTGCGTGCTGCGGTCAGGTCAAAATGAACGCAGCCGCATCATGTATGAACACATTGTCGGTCTCTAATATACATTTTGTATTGATGCAATCTGACCGTGCGGGCACAAGTAAAGAACGCAAACCGCACTGCTGACAGATTGCCTTGACACGATCGTTGACAGATTGTCTTTTTTTGCGTTAAGCGGCTATTCTGGTTCTATGAAGTTCCGGTATCACTACGACCGGTACCGATCTATTGTGATCGCTACTATTTTCCTTGCAGTTCGCCTCCGAGTCCTGCATCCATTGGGTAGTGCAGTATCTTTTGGGGGGCGATATGTTTTACATCTTGTGGGCTTAGGATGTGTTTGCCCAGGTGTAAGCTCCGCTTGCGCATCAAAGATCCGCAGTGCGTGAGAATATGTAGTGGCGTTTCATCTGCCTCGTGGCATCTTGATAGATTGTCTTGCCCGGGCCACTGATCGTTGCCCTGACCAACAATGCTGTCCATGCGGGCTGCGTTCACTTTGACTTGACTGCAGAACGCATCCAGTGTGGCAAATCCTTAAAAGCTCTAAAGCTAGCGCACACAATACAGCGGAAACCTCACCGTCAGTCCCTCTCCTCTTATTTGCGTTTTCATAACGTACTGCGACTATACGTTGGGTACAATGTCACAATTTCTGCTCAAATGAAACTACACGGGGATTTGTTTCGAGCGTTTAAGAGCCGGTCAAACTTTTTTATAAACCATTGGTACATTGTTTGCAACTCTCGCTTGGGTTTTGTTCGTAAAAACATGTCAAGTCTAGCTTAAAAGCTCGGGAGTTTCCAATGCCTCAATAAAAAGAAGAACACTTCCATCCTGTACTTTGAAACAAAACAAGTTTTCAACTTTTTGCTTGATTAGAAAAAACCTAGGCAGATACCAAAGCATTAGTGTAAACTAATTACTGATTACATTATAAAATTATAAACTAACTTATGCCCGCGGCTCCGTTCTGTTTCAGAACAATACCTAAGCTTTCCTCATGAATTTCTATTCTTTATGTTGTGTACATACGTGTGATCAATTTAGGATACATTACACAATAGAAATTAAATAAAGTCCCGGTCCGGTCCCACACCAATTTAGTTCTCGTGTGTTTCCAAACCAAGGCTAGACGTTATCATATTTGAAATATCTTACTAAAACGCGAGTATTTTAATAATTCCACTGTTTTATTTTACGAACTTGAGATGGTTTGTAATGTGGTTAGATGTTACAATGTCAGTCTGCTTGTATTTTGTATTAAATTTATAATAATAATAATAATAATAAATCATTCTTTATTCAAGTTACTAGGACTCAGTTTGTTAATAACAATTGCACTTAAAAACTATGTTAGTTGAGTTGAAACAGATGTAAAATTGAATTTAGATTTAGATTTAGAATTGAAATAAGTATTATAATAAATTATACTCATTTCAATTCCAAATCCACAAGTGTGAGGTTATGCATACATGAGTCATCTCCGCTTCACTCCATAGGCTGTGTCACAGCAATGCCTCACGTACACACAATCCAACCTGCTTGCAATCATGGTCAGGATGCTGTTGCCACTACTCCGGACCCTGCGCACCAGGGATGCACATTTTTTGCGCATTGTGGTAAAAAAGCAGTTGACCCGTGCCTCTGCAAACATCCCTGACGCACTACAGAAGCGGGGCAGTCCCAACAGCACCCTGAATGCATTATTGTACTGCACCCTTAGGGCATTGAAGGTTTTTTGAGTGTATCTAACCCACAGGCTACACGTGTAGAAGGAGGTGCAATATGCTCTAAAAAGAGCAATCTTGACATCCGCTGTACAGCGCGCAAACCTGCGAGCCAGCATGTTCGCTCTCACCGACAATGCCCGCCGTTCTCTTTCTATATCCTCATCATCCTTGAGGCCAGGGGTCAATACGTGACCAAGATATTTAAATTTATGCACTCTCTTCAGTTCAGAGTTATTAAGGAAGACCGGTGGTAATACATCGTGACGTCTACCCCTGGCCTCAAAGACCATGAGTTGGCTCTTTAAAACATTATAAAGTAGACCATGGGTCCCCGCATACTCCTCACATTTGGCCACCAATTTTCTCAGACCACACACAGACGCGCTCAGCAGCACCATATCATCCGCGTAGCTTAAGTTATTGACGCAAACTCCATCTATATGACAGCCGATTCTGGTGCTGCTGAGCTCGCCTATGAGGTCATCCCGCGGTCGTCACCAGTTTGGTTTTGAATTGGAGCGGTTTTACTTATACCCTCGAGATTTTTTATGTTTATGCTTCTATATTGAAGACAGTTTTCGTTGCTTATAATCTCGTCACAAGTCTTGTTTTCATAACTTTGCAATAATGACTCGTCCAGATGCGAAAGCCCCATAGGGCCACTGTTACAATACGCACCTCTCTTCATGTTAACTTTAACAGCAGAAAAAGGCGGCGAGCGTTCTTTGACTTTAAGAAATTCGTTCTTAAAATCCTCAAATTGATTTATAGTCACACATGATGATTTTAAAGTCTCGATCTCTGTTTGTACCCGTACTAAATCCTTGAGGAGTTTTGAAACATCCAGGTGATCGAACGTAATTGGAGGCAGTTTCTCCAAATCACGGGCCACAAATATCGGTAGCACATCCTGATCAGTAGCTTTAAAAAAGCTTATAATATCATACAGCTCACGGTTCTCCTTTCCTTTTCCTTTACGTATTTTTCGCTTGAGTTCGGATGGTACAGCTTGAAACAACAATATGTTGGAATTTTCGATCTGCTCAGTAGTAAAAAACGATGAACATATTTTCACAAGGCTTTCTTCGTCCGATATTGATATTTTGTTTTGTATGTAGGACAATAATTCGTCAATGACAATATTACAACTGTTGCATTTCACACACGACATTTTTACTTTTACACGGATCCCCGAGTGGCGATTTATGCAGTTTCACCAAATGTGTAATACTTTTTATGAGCTTTTGAAAACGTTGTCTCTAGATAAAGTTTGTATAAAAACAGCTATGTCAATGACTTGTCAAGTACATTTTTAACTCAACTGACTCAAATTATTTTCTCCATAAATATAAAAAAAAAGTCCACTTACAAGGTAGACCGACGACATCGTAAAGGTAGCAGGGAAGTGCTGGACGCAGGCCGCTATCAATAGATCAACGTGGAAAGCATTGGGGAGGCCTATGTTCAGCAGTGGACGTCCTATGGCTGAAATGATGATGATGATGATGATCTAAAAAAAAATTAGGCGACCTCGACCTACTTTATTTATTATTCTAAACATCAAGCTAACAGAATACAATAATACGAGTACAACATAATAATTTATGTTAAAACTTTTAAAACCATATAAATTATTTCAGCATTGAAATCATTTCCTACATTTCCCACTAATGGGCAAGTTTGTGTAAAAATGTCCCCGCTGCAGCGCCAAAAGACCGCCTCCTTTATATTTCAGACGCGCCGTCGGGAGCGAACGTTCGCGGAGTAATGCGAATCTCTTGAAAAGGAGCTCGGGACATCTGTGGTGGGGACACACGGCCGGTAAGAATAGGCAACAAGACAGTGATATTTTTTTAAGTTTGTTGTTAACGATTCTGTCACTTTCAAGTTTTAGCTTAAAACTCATGGTGGACTCTCCCGGCAGCATATTCCTAAAGGCTCACGATTCTATTGTTTTTCTTTAATCTCGTGGAGCTCGTGGACCCGTTGGGAATCAACTTATTAACTTTTTTTTTAAAACAATACGGAATGCCGTACACTAAGTATGCATTCTAATTGCATAATAAAATAATTGGGATTGTTACAACCTTTTTATGTGGTAAGGAAATGATAAATCATTACCTACACAAGGATGTAGAAAAAGTAGCAAAAATGAAAAAGAAAATGCAACTTTAAAGGAAAAAGACAATGAATACCGAAGGCAAGGATATTGAAGCACACAGTCTATAAATATTTCATGAAAGCAAAAAACAAGGGTTTCGGTTTCTTTGTGTTTATGATATTTGATTACTCACATATCAAGTGCTTACGCACTGGTTATTGTTTTATTAATTACTTTATATTCTTAATTTCGGTTAGGTATGTAGGTCTATTTTTACTCGTTATGTCTATTAAATCAATATAAAAGAATTTCTACACTTTCCATCCTACTCTACTGTGTGTGACGTCTATCTGAGACGGGTCCCAGGACGTTGGGTTTGCTTTAATATAATTAGCTCAACTAACTCAAGAAGCGAGTTTAAATTATGTATGCCTACAATTATTAGTCCTGTCTCGTCGCTACATTGTCTCCTGCATTTTGGAGTATAAATGGTTTTAATTTCGGAGATATCTCTGGAGAAGACGGGAATGTCTCAGGGCTATCTTTTGAATTAGTTATGACTTGTCATATTGCATAAAGAATAGAGAAAAACGGGTCTCTACGCGACATTTTTTATTATATGAGTTATGTATAATGTACTTACAGCTTTAATATTATAAATAACTTAAAAAAATCGAACTGCCTAAGGCGGGAATCGAATCCGCTGCCTTTCGCTTGCCGTGCGACTGGTCTTCCATCTGAACTACGACTTATTACTTAGACACTGGATGAACCAGTCGAAATTTTCAAGTGTAATAAGCTGTCTTAACGTTTAGGCTGCTATGCTACAGCCGTGGTCACAAGCAGACCCGTGTTTCTCTATTTTAATTGAAATGAAATGCAAAAGTTTGAAATCTTGCATAAATAATGTTGAGTTGGACATGAAACTTGGCGGTTGATTATGTTATACGACATAACTAAATGGCACAGTGATTCGGTGAATTAAGTGATGGGTATCAAGTTCGATTCCAAGACGAATCCAATAGCAAAAAAAAGGGGACACCACCCGATCAAATAAAATATTTTCAATGGAAAACTCTTAATGAATATTGTAGTAACCAATATCATTATCATTTGGTCTATTTTATTTCTTAGTTAAAGCACAGAAGCACGATTTATAATTTCTTTATGACAACCCCGTAACTTGATTTGTCTTTGAATTTGCCTCTAAATTGAAGGTCCCATTACAAAAACGATATTTACGAAGTTAAATCCAAACGATTGATTGTATTTGATTAATCAATTCGTTTGTTGTTTGAAAGCTCTGATCAAAAGCTCAGTTCGTTTGACTTTCGGAATAACGCTTTTGTTTTAATTAGTCCAATTTCGTGAATCGTGGATACACTTTAGGAATGATAGTTGTCTAATTAAGCATTCTTGAATGATATTAGTTTAGTAATTACTCGTTAGTTCATTTCAGCCGAAAGACGTCCACTGGTGGACAAAGCCCTCCCCCAAGGTTTTCCACAAAGACCGGTCCTGCGCCGCTAGCATCCAGGCACCTCCCGCGACCCTCACCAGATCGTCGGTCCACCTAGTAGGAGACCTGCCCACGCTACGTCTTCCGGCTCATGGTCGCCACTCAAGAACTTTCCTGCCCCAGCGGCCATCAGCTCTACGAGCTATGAGCCCCGCCCACTGCCACTTGATTTTAGCGATTCTGCGGGCTAACTACTCGTACTTAACTGAATATCTACTTATATATTTTTATGCGTAAGTACCTGCTTATGTCTAACGTTTAACTCAGTCAGTGCCAAATGACGTCCACTGCTGGACAAAGGCTTCCTCCAAGGTTTTCCACAATGCACGGTCCTGCGCTGCCCGCATATAGGCTCTTCCCGCGACCTTTACCAGATCGTCGGTCCACCTAGTAGGAGGCCTGCCCACGCTACGTCTACCAGCCCGTGGTCGCCACTCGAGAACTTTTCTGCCCCAACGGCCAACGTCTCTACGAGCTATGTGCCCCGCCCACTGCCACTTGATTTTAGCAATTCTGCGAGCTATGTCGGTCACTTTGGTTCTTCTGCGGATCTCCTCATTTCTGATTCGATCACGCAGGGAAACTCCAAGCATGGCCCGCTCCATCGCCCTTTGGGTGACCTTGAGCCTTCTTATGAGGCCCATAGTAAGCGACCACGTTTCAGATCCATATACTATCACTGGCAACACACACTACTCGAAGACTTTTGTCTTGAGACATTGCGGTATTTCGGATGTGAGTATATCGCGTAGCTTCCCGAATCAAAGCGAGCATACGTTTATATAAAGGAGATCTGAAGTCTCGCTAACGTTTGACGTTACGAAAACACCCTCGCATGCCGCTCCCATACCTCAGGTACTTAGTTTAGCACTAGACCAATAGCAGGTATCGTCTGTCAGGAGAAATGTATCAACAATTTTTTCCGGTAAAAAGGCAACTTAGGCCCAGTTTTTTGATCCGTAGGTAAAATAACCAATAGTCAAATTTGACAGATGTCAATTGACAAGTAGTTAATTAACAGGAAAAAATGTTTTTCGAACAATGGTTAGCTTGACTTTTAGTACCCACATTTTTTAACTATTTGTCTTACATTTTGTTAATATTTAACCATTAGTAGCAAAATTTCACTATTTGTTATTTTAACTATTAATCAAAAAATGGGCCTTAGTAATACCAAAGTACATATTATTTTTATACAATTCATCAAGGTCTAAACGTCTCTAACAAGAGTTTTTCTCAGAAACACTCAATGGCTACGCTTATTATATAGTATGACACAAAGAAGTTAGAAGACACAAAGCCAAATGTGTCACGTAAGTCTGAAGAAATATTCGAGTATCCAATAAAAAGGCTTGATAATGAGCGTACCTGTTTAAATTACAACCATTCTTATCTATTTAATAGTAAAAAAACTAAAACCCAACTACGACAAAAAACGACGCTGAAAAAGTATAAAACAAGATTTTCAGAATACTGAACTGAACAAAGTTGCTAATGTAGTTGCTAGTAATTTTCATGTTTGGAAAACCGCAGTCACACGTTGTCAAAGTGCTACGGTAGGTAGGTATATGTAACGTGTGACTACGCCTACGCCGTGTGAACGAAGTGGAATAAAGCAATTTCAACTGGCCAATAGATTAGACTTAAGGACGAAGCACACTTATCTGCCCGGAAACGGATCGTGACCGTTTCAACTCGAGGCGGTTAGTATTCCTTGTATGAAATACCGCAAAGCACACTTATCCGCACCGTAACATGAACGCCTGGCCTCGCGGCGAAAGACGATTCGGTGTTGATCCCTTTGCGGGTTGATAAGTGTGCTATGACCTTTAGGAAGCGCCAGTCTGTTGCAAAGGTGTAAGACGAACTACTCCAGCTTGTGCATTTTTAATCTCGCGCTCGACGACGCTTCATTTGTCTGACTCAGCCTGAAGCCATCTTGAAAATTGGTTTGTGTGTTATGTACATTTGCGTGGAGGAAAAACTGCAAACAAATTGTTTTAAGAGGTAACACGCTCCAATTTGCACCAATATATAGGCTCAAACGTGAGATAAAACAAAGTCATGACTCGAAAACTCCATCATAGATCTATTAGGATACAATGCTTTCATCATCATCATTTCAGCCATAGGACGTCCACTGTTGAATATGAGCTTCCTCTAATGATTTCCACAATGACCGGTTGGTAGCGGCCTGCATCCAGCGCGCAATGCTTTATTATTATTATTATTTTTTGATAATATTTAAATCAAGATTAAAGTTAAGGGAAATAATAATAGAGGGCTAGACGTACTAATACAAAAGATATTGGAGGCAATGTGTCGTGCACGCGATGCTAGATCCAATGTGTATTACATACAGTAGTATAAAAATAGCCAAGGGGCCAAGGTTGGACTTAAAACATTATAACTACTATACTGTGAGGACGTGACGTGAGTACATTATGTTACTCATATAAAAATGTCGCGTTGAGACCTGTGTTTCCCTATTAAGTTAAGATCTCTTGTTGTGTTATTGCACTTATTTCTTTCAATGTTCGGACAATAAGCACATCAA